GTCATGTACATAATAGAGAAAATCTATTGTGTTTGGGTGGAAGGTCATGTGATATGCAATAAAAACAATTTTTTTCTTTTGCAATTGTTCAAATATAAAGTGGAAATTGAGAATTTCTAATAGAATTTTTATGATGATGTAGAAGAGAAAAAATAGCGCCATAAACAATTTTTATTATTTTGTTAAAATTTTCTAAAAAAAATCTCTCTTGTATAGCAATAAAATATAGTCCAGTACTTTGTATAGCATACCCGTTTAATGTCGTTCTTTATTAATAAAATTCCGTAGGCATAAATTTTTAGCCGGAAAAAAAAGAAAGAGAAGCAGAAGGAATAAAAAGTTTAGCCTGAAGGAAATTATGAATGGCAATTCTTTTTATCCTTTTTTACTTTTCTTTTTTTTCAATTTATCTTTTTCGAAAGTTTTTTTTTAATATCATTGTCCTATTTCTTTTTTTATGTTTTTCGTTTTTCTTTTATGTTTATTTTATATTTTCACCAATTTAAAAATATTTAAAAAAATATAAGAGTACTATTAAGCGAAAAAATAACAGTAAGCATTTAAAGTTATAAAAATGGTATGAGAATAAACAGTGAGCGAACATTTTGTATTATTCCAAACGCATCATATAATTTTGAAACCGGACGCGAACATTTTGTATAATTCTGAATGCATCATACAATTTTGAAACCGGACGTGAACATTTTGTATAATTCTAAATGCATCATACAATTTTGAAGGTATAAAACTTTCAGTTTTAGTATCAGTAGTGTAAGCAGTTTGATTCCCGTCCTAATTCACAAAATTTTATTATTTCTTAAACAATGGTGTGCATTTTTTTTATTTTCACTTTAAATTGCGATTAATGTGTGTTCGCATGAAAATTATTTTGTTTTCTTGAAATCATACAAAAGAATTTTTTTTCGGGTTTATGATTTTAAAGAAAACCTCTTGTTTTTGTTTTCATTGATTCTCTTTGATTTAAAACTGTTAGATTAGATTTTTATAATGAATAAATTTGATTTTCCGTTTTAGGTTTGAATACAAACACTGCGTCAAATGTTTTACAATGTTTGATTTAAAAAACATAAATTTTTTCTTTATTGAATTCATATTCACAAAATGGCACTTTTTATTTTTCAATTTGCTCAAATGTAGAAAATTTTAGTCTAAAATTAATGTTTGGTTTATTTTGTATATTTTTCAACAGTTGGTTTGAAGGCGTTTGATTGCTTTTATATTGTATAATACTTAAACATGTTTGCTCGCCTGAAATTGGGTTTTTTTAATTATTAAACATTATTTCATTTTTTAATAATAATGATGAATTATTGGGTGTCTTTGAGCTTTCATTCGTATTAAATTTTCATCCAAACATATTCAGTATTACAAACATTTTGTATGATAACAAGCATAAGTATGAATGGATGTTTGAACGCGGTTAAAAATACAAAACAAATAAAAAATGTTGAAAATATTTTGTTCCATTAATTTTATTCTTTGTTGTATTTTGGTATCCTTTTAAAATTTTTCTATTGTACATGTATACATTATGACAAACCACAATATTAAAACAGTTTCTACTTTGACAAATTTTATAGGAAAGTAGGAAAAAAAAAATAATTTTTTTCAAGTATCAACCATGTGAAAATGAAACAATTATTTTCTCTTTTCTTAACAAATTTCATTTCTCTTGAAATGAAATGAACGATTCTTGTGGTACACACGCACACTAAAAGGATATCAAATTAAGAAGAAAATAAAAAAAAAAGAAAATAGGAAAAAAATAATAGAAATGAAACGCTTTTGTAGGCGCTAATTTAAAGGTGCATTTTTTATTAAGAATTGTTAGAAAATGAAAAAAAAAAAAAAACAAAGGATGTTTTTTTAAAAAAAAATAACTATGCGACTAAGGTCCTTTGTTTTTTTATATTTTTTTTTTGGAATTTTTTTCAACGACTAACTATAAATTCTTTGAGTATAGCCAAGGGCGAACATGTTTTAGTTTATCTGCAATATAATAACAATGCTTATGTTAAATAATAAAAATTTTTATAGTAGATATTTTGTGATTGTATAATTGAAAATTTATACATTATGTACGTGTTTGTGTGAATTCTAGTTGTTTTATAGTTTGAAATAGGGAAAGGAAAATGTTTAGAATTTAAGGAAATGTTTTGAACATTTTTAAAGACTCTTTCTTTCGATTTATAATTTAAAGCGAAAATCATACGCTATTTGAACAAAACTTTTGCGTTTCTAAAAGAGAGAGCACTTAAAATTATTCTCAATTACATTTTTAAATTTTTCTCAAACAATTTAAATTTAGTGAAAAAGTACATAATTTGTAGCACTCACTTGCCCTACTATAGTAAAGGTTAATAAATGATGTTGGACTAAGGGATCTGGCTATAAAATCTATCGAAAATTTGCGAATATAGTTTATACGACCGTCACACTATTTTATGCTATCTTTTCAAATCATGCAGATTCTACGTTGGAAAAAGTTTTGATCTTTGGAGACTCTTCAGTCGTCGGCCCATATTTTTTGGAGTCGCCATAGGAAGAAAATCGTTGTTCAGCCAGGCCATGTTTATTGTCCGGAACGAATGATAATTAAAGAGAGCATATCTGCTGAATACGGCTGGCAGAATTTTCCATTTGAGGCTCCTCAGCTATGGTTTTTTGGCAATACTTGCAATATGGGGTCGTGCATTGTCATGATAAAGATGTTCATGATAAAATTTTTCGTCGTACTGCGCTCTTGTGTCGTCGGTTATGATCGCTTGTGTAATTTTCGGTTAATTTCGGAGTAGTTCATAATATATGACTCTGATCTGATTTCATCATACATAGAGCATAGGTTTGGAGTAGTGGAGCGTCTACATTATCTTCTGCTGGAGGCCCTGTCTGAAAGAGCATTCTCGGCACAATTTTCTTTTGTTAGTACAAACTACGAATATGTTTAAATTTTTGAATAAAAATGTTTAAACACTTCAGCAGTTAAAAACGTGTTGTTGTTAGGTTAGGGTATTAGCCTACGAGTAAAATTTATTATAGGCCGGTCGGATTATATACCTGTGAGTTTATGCAGCATTTCAGCATTCAATTAAACCCAAATCAATCATGCATGTATAAAGATTTCGGTTCCATTTTTTACTTAAATATTTTAAGAAAAAAACTTCTAACAAATTTATTAATTCTCTGTCAAAAGAAAAATTTTTATTTTTTTTTTTTTACTTAATTAAATTACTTTTAATAATTTAATTCCATCATTTTATTATTATTTTATATACATATAGCATTTAATTATCATTCAAGCTTTAAGTCTTTTGTTCCAAGAAACAAATGTTTTTACATATAAGGAAAATAAAATATAAAAAGAAAAGTTTTTCTTTCAAATAAAAGTAACAAAAGATCAGTTGTGTTGCAGTTCAGACCTTTTTTTTTATTTTTTTTTTATTTCATTTCTTTTTTCCTTTTCTTTTTTTTCCCGCGAATTTTTCACCTTTTTTTCTTTTAGGTGCTGGCATACTGCATTATTTTAAATTATCTTACGGGCATTAATTTCTTTCACTTAAAAGAAAAATAAAAACGATAATAACAATCAAAGAAAAATGAAATGAAATGAAATATTTCATAAAAAGAGAAAAGAGGAATTTGGTCATGTCAACTCTAAATGCAGTCATGTAAAAAAATGTTAAATAAGAAGTAAGTAAGTGATGGGAATTCAAACAAAACTTCCTTATTTATTGTTAGAATTCCAAAAAAATTAATTTAATTCACAATTCTACGTTAATTATCCTATGAGTGATTCGTTAAAATGCGTGCTTAGTGATTATTGTATGTTAAATGCGGGTTGTATTACGATTAACCACGAATTTAGAATAGGCTTGCATATTACTCACAGATACATAAAGATCTGTGCAAGAATTGCAACGCGACATTTGAAAGGGGAACCATGGAGCATTTACTGTGCCTAAGCTCGGCATTTTGTAGGAGGTGAAGAAAAATCTTTGATGAATTAATACACATTTAAGTCATTAGTCGATTTTTCGAACTGCGAAATTGGAAAACTTTTTTCTTCGGCACGAAAACAAGATCGTTTGAATTTTTAAAAACGAGACACAACATCCCCTTTAATTAAGTACATCGCATTACAATAGCATCTAGAACTTTCTAATTGTAATCATGTGGAATTGGTATGAACCAAATCGCGTTGTCTATCTAAGGAAAGTGCCGATATCTAACTATATAAATATAATCGGAACAGAAATACAAAAGTTACAATTTGAATGAACGAGGACTTGATCAAGATCAAAAGTAAATATTCTAATTAATTTATTTGTATGCATTATCGATAGAACGCGAACGAGTGCCTTTTATCCATATAAGTTAATTTCAATTTTGTACAATCTTTCGGGAAAACATGGAAACTTCCTTAATACTGTTCTGTTTAGTTAGCCATCCAGAATAAAAATTAAATAAAATTTGTAATTCCATACGAATTTAATTATAAAAATTTTGTCACTGCCATTGACGACATCTGTGTTTAAAACCGGGAATTTTTCATTTCATGATGAATAATTAACTTGACGTCAGGAGCTAAGTATTATTTTCCATAGTAGACTTTAGTTTTAAGTATCTGAATTGAAAAAAATTGCCGGGCACTGCTTTGAGGCTCTTGCAGTTTTTTTTGCTTTACAATTTCTTTTGTTTTCCCTTATTATTTTGTCTACCTATTCAACTAAATGAAGCAAAAACAAAACAAAACAGAAAACTTTTATTTTCATACAAAATGGAAAGCAAAGAAATCAGTAAATTTGTTTTTCATCAGTTGTAATATTTTCGTGTTGAGAGGTTTTTGTTATACTTAAAAAGTATAGGAAAATTTTTAGATTTAGACTAACTATTCATTTTTTGCTTTTATCTTCTACTTTTCTTTATTTTTTGTAATTGAATAGAATTATTACTAAAACTAAATTAATTTTTTTTTTCAGGTAAGTGTACAAATATGGCTATGTATAAAAAGTGATATGGAACAATAGAAATGACTAAAAACACCTGCATCATTCAGGTTGCCAGTTTTTTCTTTCTCTTTTAGTACTGAAGTTGGGGCTTTCAATTCATCAAAATGGAAAATATGAAAGGATTTAAAAAAAAAGTTTTTTCTTTTATTTTGCTAACTAAAATCTTATTTACTTACTTTTATTTGTATAGCGTATGTAATATGAGTGTTGTGCCTTAAAAAGTAATTTCTTGTATCTTTTAGAGTGCAACATTAAAAGAGAAAAGGTATTTATTTTAGGAAATTTTAAATTGAAAGAGTGAAAGAAATGCAAAAAAAAAAATTTGGGTCATACTCTTAAATATATGGGTAAAAAGATTAAAGAAAGCAAAGCTTGTAAGACTTTTGTTAAAATAATAAAATTTTAAATACTTTTACTTAACTGAAGGTATAGAGTGAGATCAGAGTTTGGAATTAATATGCATATAAGTAGATACTCAGATGTAGGAAAATGTAAATATTTTTATTTTTAATTTTTCTACAATTACAATTACTGGAGTTCATTTCGAAAATTGCTGGAACATCTGTTTTGAAAAACTGTTTTACGTAAAAGAGAAATTAGATTTTCATGAGTAATTGCATTGTGATTTTCTTTAACAATTGAAAACGTTGAATAACCATCGTTGAAGGAGAGTAATTTTACTTGATCTTAACATTTTATTCTTCGGTTTACACATTCTGTAACAAAGTTTTAAATTCCATTCGAACAATTGAATAATTCGAACAATTTTTTAAGATATTAACTTTTTTTTAAAGAGAGACGGCATTTGAAGCGCTGGAGAAGCCTTACGGGGCTTCGACAAGCCAAGTAGCTGTTGGGGAATTAAGACCAGAGACGCTTTATAAAAAGCACGGGGTTCGGCAAAAATCTGGCAAGAACTCTCACGGGTATCTTGACGGCGCATGGTAGACTCAGAGGTCACCTTAGAAGGCTAGACCTAGAAAGTAAAGATGTTTGTAAATTTTGCAAATGAACATTTGTAGTGAATTGACCAATATTGGTAAATTAACCGCCGTTGATTAATTTTCCGGAAATTCATTTATTTAAGCGGTAAATTTAGGTCTCCTCAATGTAGCATTATTGTGATTTATTTATTAGGCAGTAATTTTATCCTTCAATCAATCTACAACACCACATCTAAGTCATAAAAACTTTTTAATATGCAGTAATTAATAACAATAAATGAAAAATCACTTCTATTTTCTTTAATATTAATTTTCAAGAAATTCAACTCTTATTTAAAGTGCGTGCAGTGAATAAGCATAGGAACCGGTTGTTTTTATATTTTCAAATAGACTTCGCGATAAAATCGTAATTGCAAATTACACTTAAATCAATAACGCCATCATATTGATTAAATATTAAAAAATATAATAAATGTAATACTCCTATTATACACATATACTCTACAATACAGCTATAGTCAGAGAAATAGTGAGAGATAGTCAGATATTGCCATTTATGCAATTTAATAATTCTTTTTTAATTGAAAGCAATTGAATTTTAAAATTGAAATCGATAAATAATAATTTAAAAAAAAAAAAGGAAATCTAACCTCGAATTCATAAAATTTACAAGGTGATTGGGCATAATTTACAGGCATGAGTGTATGATGGGTGTAAAAATGTTTCCTCTGTAATATTTGATATTTCTCACTTTTCTGTTATATATGCATGCCAGCCCCCATCTCAATTATATTGCCATTTTGTATAAATTTGAAAAAATTTTCCTCCTCTGTGCTCTGCTTTTTATTCCTATATTTTTAGCCGTTTTATTACATGCATATAGCATGTATAGGAGCTATAGGAGCTATACGTATTCATATCGTATACAATTTTAATTTTAGTTATTGAAACTGTTAAGGATTTCATTTGCAGAAATGGAAAAAAAAATATAACGTTAATTATGTATTTGTATGCATATGCAATTATTTTTTTTTATTGCATATGCTCTACCTTTAAAAATTATTTCAAGAATTTTCTTTTATTCTTCAAAATCATTTAATATGCAATAAAAAAAGAAGAGTGTAAAGAAACTAAGTAAGAATGTAAGAGTTTACAATAAAAATGAGTATTAAGAAAATATTGAATAAAAATTTTTTATATTTTAAGAGAAATGAATGCCATGTTGTTTCCATGTGGTTTGATTGAAAAACTCTTAGGATCTTGGTTGTGTTAATTCGAATTGAAATGCAGAATATTATATTTTGTAGCTGTCTGAAGTTATCAAATGAAATAGATTTTGGTTTTTAATTACACTGCAAAAAAAGAATTTGAAATAATACTAATTTCGTTATTAATAACTCATTTTTCTTGGGAATTTCACTTAGTAAAAAATTCATACAAAAACATACTGTATTTGGCGAAATTTATTTTTCTAAACTATTTTTGTAACTAAGACATTTATTGTTGCCACACTTTTTCAATATTAATTGTAGAAAATGTTTTTCCAGTGTATATTATACGAGTATAAATTGATTCCAAAAATAATTGGCTTTTTGAAATTGTTTATAGCTTTCAATTCAAAAATATCGTTTCCAGGAGATCTAATTTCAAATCGATTAGTACCATAATAGTAACATAAGCTTACACCAGAGTGTATTGCCCATATGGTATAAATACGATATAAGTAAATATTTAAATGTAAAATCAGAAATTGCAGTAATATAATATCGTATTTTGTTAAACTTTGGCCAATTAAGAACAATTCGGTGGAAATTTGCAAAACTGGGCAAAAGATGAATTGAAATTTTTCAATATGTCAATTTTAAAATTTTGAAAAAAATATTTGAATTCATTCTAATTTTAGAAAAATATAGAATTCATTCTAAAAAATTAATCTGAATTTTTATATATTTTAACATCTTCTCCATTCACTTTCTTTCGGTAGCAAACTGTAATGTAAAATTCCTAATTTCGACCAACCTTCTACAACATGGGAACGCGGCACAAAATTTTTATCTTCTTTAAATATTTTAATAAGTTTTTGTTTTTTTTTTCTTAACACTAAAGGGAATTTTAGTTTAAAAAAGAAAATTATTTAAAAATTGAAAGCGTTATAAAATATTCACGAGAATTGTATGCAAGGCATAAGGACTAAGGACGAAAAAAAAACAACTCAATTTCCTCCTCTTTTGCTTTTTCCTTTGTTTGTTAATTTGTTTTTATTCTAAAAGATTTAGAATGAGAAAATTTTCATTTGTAGCGTCGAGTGTTTGTTTTTTCCCCCCTCCTCCTCCCCCCTCCTCCTCCTCCTCCTCCTCTTCCTCCTCCTCCTTCTCCTTTTCATTTCGTTGAATTTTTCCTAATTTTTTTTTTATTTTGTCAATTTTATTTGGTTTTTTCCTTTTTTTTGTTTTTTACTTGCATATATTTTGGAATCCTTAAATAGCAGTTTTTCTGTGTGTAGGTCGTTTTTACTAAAAAAAAAAAAAACCAAAAAAAAATGTAGGATGGAATTAAAAAACGATAAAAAACAAGAGTTCCTTTTTCTCTTTTTCTCTTTATTATACTTTTTTTCTCTCCTGTTTTTTTTTTTCTGTTTTTAAATCAGAGAGTGTATAAGAATTTCAACAACTTTAAAATTTCAAGAAATAAAAATTTGCAAAAAAAAAAAAAAAAATTAAACTTTCATTTTATAAAGTTGAACTCTCTGTCTCTCTCTCTCTCTGACTCCTTCTCTTCTATTATACAACTCTCCCTCTGGCTTCTACCCTCTGAATTCTTATAGTAAAACGGTTTATTCCGAATATTCCGATAAAAAATGGTTTATATATTGCATGTAAAAAATGTATAAAATATTCCAAGTGCCTGAGAAAGAAATCTAGAAGATTTATGTTTGCACTAACCGTACTCGTATATATGTATACACATGTGTATATATACATGCATGAAAAATTTTAAAAATTTTGATTTAAAAACTAAAAAGACAACGATGAAAATCTGCTAACGGTAACAACAACAACAATAAAAAAATTTTAACTCCATGATGGTATCAAAGGATATTTTCCGTGCTACTTAAGAATTTATAACATGTGTGTATATGTATATATATAAACATAAAATTTATAGGTTATCGTATTATGTTACATGAATGCCAAAAAGATTTCTACATAAATTATATTATTATACTCCTATAATATGTGTAGATGTACGTGTACATAATATGATTTACATAATGTACATAAATGTAAAATATAATAATGAAGTAAAAAATTTTTCATTTTAAATCAACTTCAGTCATGTTATTTTTTTAGTGTTTTCATTATTATCGTATATAATTAGAAAAAAAAATATTTTTAATATACAATATAATTGTTTAATGAAAAATTTTTATGAAAATTATTTATTAAATAATGTAGACACTACAAAATTCAGAACTCTGATTTTGTTGTGTCCCCCTCTGGAAGGGTGAGTGACATTAATTGTTAATAATTGCAAGAGCTTAACGTGTATGCAGGTGGCCAAAGTAATAGATCCTGTTGCATTTTAATGTACATATTTGTAGCGTATATCAATAATATTTCAAATTGATTTCCCGGTTTTGACGAAAATACAATGTTGACGAAAATAAAATAGTCGGATTAGAGAAATTTCGCAAGAACTTCCTATAACGGCACATAATTACATACATTTTAAGAAATTGAATCCGAAAATATTGTTATTGGTTGGTAGTAATCTAGAACTAGCAGTATAAGTATAGCAGTATTCTATAGAGAAAAGCGTTTAACGTTTTCAAAATTTTGAAATTTTCAATTAAATTTAAGGTAAATTCTCTCTCCCTTTCTTTATGTGCCTATAAGAGCAGACTATCTCTCTCTACATATTATGTGATTTGCATGAAAGTTCATTTAGTTTTTATTTCCAATTAAAGTGTCTAACTTCATAGAAAAGTTACTCTTACTTGTTGCATAACTGACGTTGTGAGAAATATGTGACTTTCTGTGCGTTATTTACTTACTAAGCGTGAAATTTTAAAACATACTTATAAATACCTATAATTTACATGAGTGTCCGATTGAATGCGAATAAATTGTTTGTATTAACTTCGAACCTTTAAGCAGCCTATAACTTCTATTATATAACTAGCAAATATATTATGTATAATAAGTGATATATATAATATATATAATATATATAATTATATATATATATTCATATGATATATATAAATATATCAGTATAGTGTACATACATATACATACATAGTATTTTTTTGTACATACAAATTTGCAATATAATAAGAAAGTTTCATATGTATACGATTCCCCTGTATAAATATACGTATACGAGAATACGTACATATATTTCTACATTAATAAAATTAATAGCGAATTTATAAAACTATAAAAGAACTTGCATTAATTTTAA